AGGGCGGCGGGGGCGCGCTCGGAGCCGCGGCCGCCAGGGTGCGGGGTGGGGCCGGCTGGCCGGGAGCGGCGCCGGGAGCGGGGCCGGGGTTGGGGGGCGGGGGCACGGGGTCGCCTGGAGCCCCATGGAGGCGGACCTCGGGTGGGGGTGGGGTCCCGGGGAGGCTGCCCTCCTGCCCGAGGGCAGGGTGCCCCGGTTCCTGGAATTACTTTAGCGCAGATGTGCGGCCTATAGTGACCGGCCGGGGGGTGGGGTGGGGGGAGTAGATGCCTGGAGGTGCGGGGCAGGGGCTGGCCGCTCGCTGGCATCTCACATTCCTGCAGAAGAAATCGTGAGTCACTTGACAGGAATTAGGAAAAGTTGAGTGTGCTTTGCTTCGTCCCGGCGGCCGTGGAAATGCTCAGTTGTGCCTGTGGTGCCGAGGCTTGGCCAGTTGGGCTGGGCCGGGCCATGTGCTGACTGGCCTGCCGGGGCGGGGGTCCCGAGCGGGGTTCGGGGAGGACGGCCCGGGCAGCCAGCTGGGGTGTAGTCGGCAAACGCAAGGGCAGCGCACTTGGATTCTAAGAAGTAGTTTTCCGTAAGACCTTCTGGTTTGTTTGTTTTTTCCTTAGGAAGTTAGTACCTCCCACATTAGGGTAAATGACAGCCTTAGCTTTAGTTGGGCGTGAGTTTATACTTTTTTCTGACAGATTCTGAAAAAAGAAATACTTACTGTGTTTATATAATACAACATAGTTGATACATTATATAATGCTTCAGGTGGTGTATTCGGAATATTCGAAGGGAGAATTCGAGGCGAAATGGAAACGTTTGCCAGTACGGTTGTCGGTGATGCACTCAAATGCACTTGTGCGCACGGTGATCTGGAAGGTGGCCGACTGACTCAGGTCTGCCTTTCGTTTCCGTAGTGTACTGAGCGTGGAGAGCGACACGTGGATCGTGAAGGTAGAATGAGTGAATCCACATAATAGGAGTTAACGCAGCACTTTCGTAGGCAGAAGAAATAGAGGATGCTTCTTCGTACGCTGGAGACTTAAAAGTGGGAATTAGAATTGGTGAAATATGTGGATGAAACAGGACTTGAAAGATTGACCTTCAGTGCTGAGGATTTAAGTGTCTACAGGTTGGGGGGTTAAATGATAAAGGGGTGCAAACACATTTTGTTGGCTTCTTGTCCACTGGTTTACATACGTTTACAGTTCTGTGTCAGTGTATTACAACTTTAGAGAGGTACTACGTATGAATGAAAGGTACTGGTGTGAACAGCAACATTCTAAGCTGTAACTTTCAGTTTTGCAAATTGTTAAAGTATTTGAAGCTGTTCGGGAGAAAGCCTGAAACGGCTGGAGTGATGTAAATCCTATGCCTCTGGGGAGCTTTTTGTGGTTCACCTGGCCTCTGGGCTCCTCATCAAAACAGAGCGAGAGAGGGAACACAAGCAGGGGGAGTGGGAGAGGGAGAAGCAGGCTTCCCGCTGAGCAGGGAGCCTGATGGAGGGCTCGATCCCAGGACCCTGGGATCATGCCCTGAGCCGACGCTCAACGACTGAGCCACCCAGGTGCCCTTCACCAAAATGTTTTAGAGAAAATAGGATGGAGGAGAGAGCGCATATATTATATTGAAATACAGTTACCAAAATACTGAACCAAAGTGATGCTCAAGCTGCTTACTTGCCCTTTGTTAGATCAGTTAGTAACAGGTCAAGTTTGGGCTTTAGTGATTCCTTTTGGAGCAGTGACCAGCATAATTGACAGTTTGAAATTTCTGTAGTAACTCTAGTGCTTTGTGAAAATATCTGTAGTTTCTCTTGGTGAAAAAGTCACAGGTACTGCTGAGACTCCAGGATTTCATGTCTTCCTTCATGATTGAATGAGTGCTAAATTTCAGCTAGAGATTATTGCAAATAAAGATGTGTTTTTTCTCATTCAGCTTCACGGAGGCTGGGGTCAGAATCTGTGCACTAGGAGCCCGTGTACTCTCCACCATCCATTAGTAGGCATGTGTACGTGCCCTTGTTTTCCTTCCTCAGGTGGCTGTCATGGTGGCTAAGGGGGTGAGGGAATAAAAAAGTGCAGACGAGGGAACTCACATATATATATTATAGCGGTCTGGGGTCATTGTCAGGGCTGAGGGAGCTGTAGCAGCCAACTGGGGAGTGCCATCTTATGCCACAGTCTTATGCCACAACCGGATCAGTTACTATTTTGTCCTGGACGTGGAAATACAGTAGAAAAAGTTCAGTCTGGAAATTGTTAGAATCAACATTTAAGAGCCGGGAAGCCTAGTCACTTGGTCAAGGCCTGGCTGCAGAGCCTGTCAAATGAGGCTACACCTGCCATACCACCAGCCATCCTTTGTTTTGGGGTGTCAGCCCCGCCGCTTTAGTTACTGTTTCTGGAAAGTTCATTCACAGAAGGCTGTGTGATACCACAGCAAACGTGTTGTCTGACAAGGTAGTTTGGAAACCCGTGGCTTGGAAGTGCTGTGGTTCTGAGGGGACCTGGGGGCAGGGTGGGGGTAGTGAGGGAGGTGGCGAGGGGACAGAGCGGCTTCTTCATTCTATCTCGATTCCTTAGGGAATCTAGGATTCCTTAGGGAAAAGTTTCTACAATGTTTTCAAAATCTTCAACTGACCTACCAGGTTGCAAGACTAAGGGTTTATGAGTAAAATTTCGGATTCATTTTCTTGTCTTGAGTCTTCCTTTAAATGATCGGACACAGTCAGCCCGCTACCAGGTGCTGTCTCCTGATGTCACAGGTGGCCGAGCCGCTCGGCGCGGATTGTTCATGCTCCTATCTGGGGAGACCATTTAGCTTGAGGGGATCCCCACCACCCAAAAGGCATGTGCTATTCTGTGCAGTCTCTAGCTGAATGCAGCCGTCCATGTGCTGGTGAGGCTGTGGGGCACATTCCCTGGAAATGCTTTTATCGTTTGCCATCTGTGACTGACACGTACAGAATGATTAGCTTGTTTCGTCAGGTCTCAAGGTGGCCGGGAGCAGGCTGACTTCAAGTCCAGGGGTTGAGGGTTACCGAGGAATAAGGAAAATAGGAATCTAGTTGTATCCCAGGGACCACTAGTGCTGGGCTTTGGGGCCCACAGAACTGGTTTGAACTCTGGCAGAAGTCTGGCCTTCCTGGTTCAGCTGGACTGTTGCTCTCTACCGTCTACTTGCTCTGCACGCTGTTGATTACAAGTTCTCTCCTCCCTGCAGCTTGGGGCCCAGCACTACCCGCCTCACCCTCTTCCTGTTTCCCAGGGTCCACCCCAGACAGAGTGACTGAGCTCTTTCCCTCCACCCACCTTCCAGGCGCTGACCCCTGGGCTAGGTGCTGCCCTCAGGGAGGGCTGGGCTCCTGCCTTCCACACGACCACCCTTTTGCAGCAGGGTCTACGGTAGGGTTGGGTCACTTAGAAGGGACTATGGATTGGGAGTACTGTGATGCAGGTTCCAGCCAGAATCGTCTGATCGGACTTTTGTAAAAATAATGCTTAATGAGAGCTTGGTAAGCTCTCAGTATATGTTGTTTCATGTTGTCTGAGATATTTTATCAAGGTTTATAATTTTTTGCATTAAAAAGTTTAGGAATTTAACTTTGCATTCTTTTAAATTGTGTGTTTGTGTGTACCCCCCCTCCCTCCCAGGATGTACTTTAGCAGAATTCTTTGCAGCATAAACGCAAACACTTCTGTGATTCTGTAGGGCAGGGGTTCTCAACTGTGAGACTGTTGACATTTGGGGCCAGATAGTTCTGTGTTGTGGAGGCCATCCTGTGTATTGTGGGATGTCAGCAGCATTCCTGGTCGCTATCCACCAGATGCCACTGGGACCCCCACTTCCAGTTGTGACAACCAAAAATGTCTTCAGATATTGCCAAATGTCCCCTGGGGGACAAAAGTCACCCCTGGTTGAGAACTGATCTAAAACAGCATTTCCCAAAATGTACTGTGTGGAACCTGAGTTTAATGGGATATGCATCCATATTTACATATTAGTTATTTTGTGTTGTATTTTTAGTCAGTGTTATTATGTATGTTTCCATGTACTTATATAACGCACATGTTTCTCATTTAAAAAAAATGTATCAAAGATCACGAATTTTGTGATTTTTTTTTTTTCTGTATCGCTTTACGGCTGTGTCTGATGTTGCAGAGCCTTTTGAGCATTTAGGTTTTGATATTCCCTATGTTTTTTTCATCATTCTCTGGCCTACCAAGCTTAGTGCTAGTCAGATCACAGGGGCTGTGGGCAGAGGGATAGTGCTCCTGGGTCCATTTCTATGGTGCTCTGTCCCTGAGCACACAGTGCCCTGGGAAGAAAGATTGTCCGTGTGAAAGGGCTCTTGCTTTGAAGAGTTGGGGTTCTTATTTTTTCCTAAAACCATTCTTTAACTCTCAACAAGTCCATCGTGAAAGTTTTGAGTGTCAGTTTTTAGTAATGCCGATAATAGTCACCGTCTGAAAAGCAAGGGTGTGATGTAATTTTAAATTCTACCAGCAGTCTACTAAGACCATCCAGCTCAGAATTTACTAAAACAGATGCTCATACCATTAAATCACCTTTGTTATTGGAATTTTGCTGTGACTTTAATGGATATTTGGACCTTTGGCTTGGAAATGCTTTTTTTTTTTTTTTAAATACAGAGTTTGTCTTAACAGGATTTAGTATCTGATTTTATTTGAATATTAAACTTCAAGAGGCACCTCCTCAAACCTTGTTTGAAAAATAGAGTGATTTCTTGACGAATGTTTGCCTCAGTATGAGTTGTTGACTGAACACGTCCCGGGGATGGGGGCTGTGAAGCCAGGATGGAAGCCGGCCGACAGGTGGCTTGAGCTTCTGAGCCGTAGGCACTGAAGACTTCCCGCACTCAAAATGAAAACTCCTTGGGCCGCAGTGACAGTTTCCTGAAAGGTATCTGGGAAAAGATCCCTCTCTCTCTCTCTCTCTTTTTTAATATGGAATTTTGACAATTTTCTTGGATTCCTTGATATCTTTCTTAGCTTTCTTAATAAACAGGTTTTGTTTGAAAAAGGGTCTTCGGTTAAATGTTTTTGGGAAATACCGGTAACCAAAACGAAAAAACAGAAAGAGGGAGAGTTGTAGTTTGCCAGTGTCTCAACGACTGTTGCTGCTGTCAGTAGTCCAGTTCTGGCTGTGTAACCGGCTCTCAGAGAGACAATAAACCTGAATTCCCCTAGAATTTCTGGCATTTCTCTGTCAGTGGAATTGATCGTTCATTAGTTAAATAAAGCAGCCTTTGAGAGCAGCTGTGAAGTTGCCCCGCTGGGAAAGCAAACCCTTTGCTAAGTCTGGCAGCCAGGGAGGGATGGAGCATCGGGCTTGTTTGTAGATTCGCTGAAAAATGTAGATTCGTAAACGACTTGATGTCACCAAAACTGAGTTAGCAAATTCTAGATGGGTTAAAAATAGTGTAGTTCAATTTTTAAAGTATCACATGTCTCTTTGGACAGCTATGCCTTTAGGCCAGGGGTTGGCAAAGGATCCCGCTGAGGGCTCTTCTTGTTTGGCCCTGGGGCCATACGTTCTACATTTGAAAGGGTCATAAAAGCAGGAAAGAAGAATATGTAATGAAGACAGTTATGTGGGCTGCAAAGCCTAAAGTTTACTGTCTGGCCCTTTACAGAAAAAGTTTGCTGACTTCCACTCAGTTCTCACCTGAAACACTGGAAGTCAGTCTGGGTCGAAATGGATAAAATTGCGTACGTCTGTTGGGGAAATACGAATAAGAAAAGGGAAGAAGTAGGGTGATTTCCCTTGGTGGACTGCACCCTGCTGGGACCGGTCTGTGATATCATCAGTGTAAAAACATGGCCTATGTAAATAGCTCCTAAACCAGAATTAAGAATCACGAAGGTCTCCATGTGACTACGTGCTGGAAGCTAAATCTAGAAGTCGGCTGTAGTGACTAGTTCCTGTTGCTTCTGTGCTCAATTGTTCTTCTCTTCTTGGCATCTGAACACTGGGAAACCTTCCTTTGCTGGTGAAGTCAGTATATAGGGTCGAATTCTCATGGGTGCCACCGCCCGGCCCAGAGCAGTCTGGGACCCTCGATGCTGCTGGGAAAGCAAGGAGGGTTCCATGGTCAGGGGCCTCGCCTCTGGGCAGCAGTCCCAGCATTGGCCGGGCTCTGGGCTCAGGAGCGCTGGGTGTGAGGGCCAGTGGGCCCCGCGGGCTTAGGAGCACGGAGCCGGGGACCCGGGAGCGGCCGGCCGGGCTCCTGAGGGGCTGGGCTGGGGTGGTCTTTAGTTTGTCAGAGCTTCTTTTTTCTTTCTAGAATTTCTGCCCCCCACCCCCTTTTTGTTTGCTTGTTTTCAAATCTCTTTCTGCATTTCTTTTGTAAAAGGTATAAAAAAGGGGACTAATAATCTTCAGCTCTTTTATGACCGCTGTTTTCTCCTGGATGGTCAGAATAATGTGAAGTTAACTGGCCTGAGGATGCACTTTACCTATTGTTTATTTAAGTGTTTCTCTGTTTCAATTTTAATGCCAGTCCAGTATATTCTAAGAATGTAACCTGTACCTATTTTAAATTTTAAAAATCTCTCTATCATTATGTCTGTTCTTTTCCCTGTTTTTTAAAAAAATTATTGTATGTGAATTGACCTCCAAGTGGATAATTTAGTTAATTGGATGTTCATGGAGTAGAAAACATTATCCCAGTATCTCTGCCCTCAAAGCTTAAAAGAATGTTTTTCTAATGTAATTTTTTCATGTAATAAATAATACTGAAAATGATTGTAGTGCAAATAAAACATTTAAATATTTTCTCTTTTTAGTTCTTGATAGGGCATCATTAAAGTTATCTGAAATCTGTCTAGACTAGTCAGAATAATCAGATGTTCAGAATAATTGTTATAATATGTGTTACTGTGTCTGATGTGGTTCCTCATTAAAAGGAGGCATCCTATACTGTACTGTGAGTATACAGAACACTGAATGTGTCTGTGTGTACAGTTTATACAGGTCACATGGCATTAATTGGGAATGAAGCATTACAGCTAAGAGAAACCCACAGATATAAAGTTTAACCTTTAAGTGCCCCAAAATTCATTTTAAGGGGTTAAAAAATGTTGTAAAATGATCCTAGATGTGTTTGCCTTTCCAGACTTGTGTATGCACATGACTTGTATATGAGCCTATGAGGACAAAATGTCACAGTCCCTACTGCTAAGGAGGACAAATTCAGGTGTGGAAGTACAGTGAACGTAAGTTTACACCTCACGGGCGCAGAGAGGAGTGCTGGAGACCTGGACTGGGATGTTGGCGCTGGTGTTGGTTTGAGGTAGTGTGAGAGCAAGCGATAGAAGAGCAAAGGTAGGCTGTGGAGTTCCCGAAGTACTAGAGGGAAACAGAGCAAAGAAGACTTCACTTCAACAAAAGGGTGTGTGAAGAAGAGAGAAGAGGGGCGCCTGGCTGGCGGCCCAGTTGGTGGAGCATGTGACTCTTGATCTCCGAGTCGTAAGTTCGAGCCCCATGTTGGGTGTAGGGATTACTTAAAAATAAAAACTTAGAAAAGGAGAAGAAGAAAACAAGGAGGTTTACTTGGTGTATTAAAAGCAAACAACTGGGACGCCTGGGTGGCTCAGTTGGTTAAGCGACTGCCTTCGGCTCAGGTCATGATCCTGGGGTCCCGGGATCGAGTCCCGCGTCGGGCTCCCTGCTTGGCGGGGAGTCTGCTTCTCCCTCTGACCCTCCCCCCTCTCATGTGTGCGCGCTCTCTCTCTCTCTGTCATTCTCTCTCTCTCAAATAAATAAATAAAATCTTTAAAAAAAATATTAAAAAAAATAAAAGCAAACAACTAATATAAGATGGCATGAATAAGCCCCAAAATATCGGTAACTACAGTTAACATAAAAGGGTTTAAATCTCCCAGGTGATAATAACTCCAGATTTAGGAGAAAAGTGAAATCTAGTTAAATGCTGTATATAAGTGATACATCTAGAACACAAGGAGGTAGGAAACTAAGGGATGGGAATCACTATCAGTCCTAACAAAAAGAAAGCAGGTCTAGTAACATTAGGCTGGACACAGCTAGACTCAAGTTACAGAGCACTAGGGGAATACGTCATATTACTCAAAGGTGTGATTAATAATCATAAACTAATGTAACAGTAAAACTTCCCAAAATAGAAGTTGACAGTTGTATATGTAAAAGGGAGGACTCTAACGTGACTCTTTGCGAGCTGCAAACCAGGTATACCCAAAAGAAGAAAGGATGTGGATGGGGAGTTCTTAGCCTTCCCCTGTTGACATTTGGGGCCAGACCATTCTTTGTCAGGAAGCCATCCTATGCGCTGCAGGTTACTGAATAGTACCCCTGGTCTCTGCTCACTAGATACCAGTAGCTACCCGGCTCCCTACTTGCGATGGCCAGAAATGTTTCTGTTTCTAGACATTGCCAGATGTCCTCGGGGAGCCAGATTGCCTCCAGTTGAGAGCCACCCATAGAGAGGATTTAAATAATGTGGCCAATAGATATGTATAGGAATTTGCACTCAACAAACATAAAGTATAGATTCTCTTCGTTTACATGGAACATTTAACAAAACTGGCCACATACAGGCCACAAAGAAAAACCCCAAGTTTCAAAAAGTAAGTCCCTATGGGCCAGGTTCTCAGACCATAATACACCCTAGTTAGAACCTAAGACTGAAAGGGTAGCTAAGAATTACTCCCTGAAAATGTTGGGACCCCCTTCATTGTATCTCTTAGATTAAAGAAGAGATCAAAAACTATTTTCAGACTGTATAAATAAATGGCAGAGGGCTACATACCACAATCATAGGGTCAGGCAGAAACAGCTATCAGGAGAAAGAAAATGCATTCAGCTTTCAACTCAAGAAACCAGGAAGATAAGTCAAAGAAAATAGAAGCAAATCTATTTCTGCTTTTTGCAAATCTGATTAAGAAGACATGAGAGCACAATATTTACAAAAGGGATATGACTGCACACGTGAAGATTTTTAAATAGGAATACGCCATGTACAATTTGATGGCAACAAATTTGAAGAGTTGTGGATGGTTTATGAGGAAGACCTAAAATGACCAGAATTGACCTTGGAGGTGGAAAACCTGTACAGACCAGCAACTTTAGATGAAATTGAGAAAGCAGTCAAAGATTTATCTGTTTAAAAAGACACTAGGAACCATTGTGTTAGGTCAGACTTTGTGTTTGTATAAATTGTAGTGACCATTAACTAAATAAAAATTTGTATGTCATTATGTTACATGGTCAAGGTTTTCAGGGTAAAGAAAAGATACACAAGTATGAAATCAAAGTAGTTAGGTAAATACCCTGTAATCCCAAATTTGCATTGTAGGTATTAGTGTTAATTCGTTTTGAAAGAATTTTAATGAGAAAACATTTCCTGTGTCCCCTGAAAAGCCTAGAAACAGTGGCCAGCCAGTAGCAGTGAGCACCTGTGGCACCTAGATTGTGGTCTCTACATGTCATTTCCCACTGAAAGGAATCAGAGTTTGGATAAATGGCAAAGTCAGAGTTTGGTGCAGAAAATGAACAAGATGAGCGTGGAGTAGCTTGTTTTACCTGAAAGCAAGGAAGCTATTGAGAATTAGTAGGGTGTGTTAAAGGCTCTAGCAGGGAACTAAAGGGGCTTGCATTGGCCAAAGATGGGATAATTTGGAACATCAAAAAATATATACATTTATATAAAACCTTATCTATTTTTTAAATGTTCAAACCCACAAGATATAATGTACTAAAAACAGCCTCACTGATCACTATTGGAGAATGCTGGGGAACCAGCACATTATTCTGAAAATTGATAACCAGAGGGAAAGAAGCAAGCCTTAAGGAGCCCCATCACTGGGGCTGCAGTGTAGGGGATGGACTTCAGGATGGGGTGGGGTTTGGGAAGAGTGGCCATG